ACTTCCAAATTATTTGCCATTTACTATTATCTATGCCCTTGAGGTTATTTTCATCAATTCTATCTGAGTGATAGAATGCCATTTAATGGCATTCTATTGTGCTTCTTTTTCCAACTCTGATTCAGAGATGTGCTAGTAGCTGGAAGTCAGCCTGGTGGTGTTTTTTACATCATGGAAATCAGCAAATGCTATAAATCAGGACTTTACTCATTATTTTGTTGATAAGATTTATGATTTATTGATTATCTAGGTTTAAGAACATCTTGGAGAAAATGTGGATTAAACTTAAAAGTGTGATGTATCTGTAGCTTTTACACTGTGAATAGCCCCAAATATTAAGGAAACTTTTTTTCAGTATTCAAAAACTGTTATCTAAATTAAAAAAAAACCCTAATTAGGGGGAAGGAGATAGCTCAGTGGTAGAGTGCATGCTTAGCATACACAAGGGTTCAATCCCCAGTACCTGCTCTAAAAATAAACAACTAAACCTAATTACTTCCCCTCCAAAACTAAACAAAAATTAAAAAAAAACAGCTATTATCTGATTCAGCAAAGTAGTCACTCATGTCATTGACATCTGAGCAATGTTCTGACATACTTTTTTCTTACTTGGGGAAAGTAAAAAAAAAAGAATCAAAATTATGTCAGGACTATATTCATTGATCAGTGGTGTGAGTGACTTCTGTGATGAAATGGATAGTAATCAAAGAGTTATTTGCTGTCTAATTTTATGACACTATTGTTGGCAGTAAATTTATAAAGGTGGATAGTATATTTTGCAAGAAATAGCAATTCCTTTGAAATTGTAGGTATAATCTGAAAATCAAGGAAGCAATTTGGCTTAAAATTTATTTCTAAAACTATGTAAAACATTTAACAGAATTTGTTACACTAACCCTTGAGTGATAATCATGAGTTTTATTAACATATGTATGCATATATATATGTATGTTCTGTTGTCTATTTGTTTTTCTCTCATAGCCAGTTTTTCAACATTTACCAGCACATCACTGTCTATAACTCTCACTTCATACATTTAAGAGTGGCCCCTAAATGAAAAAGGTACAGAGGACAATGAGAGGCAAAGGAATTCTTTCAACATTCACTTGTTCTTTTTTTTTTTTCCTTTGTAGGGGGAGGTAATTAGGTTTACTTAATTTTTAGAGAAAGTACTGGGGATTGAACTGAGGACCTCATGAATGTTAAGCATCCACTCTACTACCACTTAAGCTATACCCTCTTCCCAACATCAACTTGTTCTTTGGTCCTCAAATCTTGGTATGTGTCCTGAGGGGATGGGGGCCAGATTATGGGGAAAACTCCTTTTCCTCGCACTATAGAAAACAGAGAAGAAGGAAAACTTGCTCGTTATTCCCATTCTAAATCTAGAGGCTTTTTATGAGGCTCCTGATTTTTTCTATCTCAGACTTATAGAATAACAATCATCAAAATAACAAAAACAGATAATCTGGCCTCTTTCCAGAAAGGCTGGAAAAACACTAGAGACCAAAACACATGGGCACCATGAAGGCACTTTTTAGTTTGTCTCTCTAGAGCTACTCCTTTATTGAAAAATTGCGTCTCCCATACTCCCTCCAGTTAACACAAACTCAGAGGCTTTCTAGAAGCAATGCCATTGCACAAGACTGCTTCAGATGTATTAAAAGGTATGCCTGGAAATAAATTCACATGTTTGACTTAAAGACAGAGGATTGCTCATGAGAAGATTTTGCAACCTTAATAAAAAGTAGAATTAATTGTAGTCTACCTGGTGAACTTAAATGTTTACCACATCTGCAAATAATAAATTCAACAAAAATGTCTTACCAAGTGAACTGTGTGATTCAGAGCCACTAGCATATCAACATAGTTAATTACAGCTATTATTTTGGAAACTTAGTTGTTCTGAAAATACTTTGGTTTCTGATGATCTTTAATTAGTTTATCTGCAGCTGGAGTCCTTGATGACTGCCTCATAAAGTTCCTCCCCAGAATCCAAAGATGATTCAATCCTGGGACATCCATAAAGGTGACTCACCAAGTTAGTAAGTCAATACTGATAAAGCATTATATTCATAACAACAGTTCCTAAAAATGCATTTGAAAATATTCTCTATAGGTACTTTAAATAAAAATTTTAAACACACCTGTCAGAATGGCTATCATCGAAAAGACCACACAAATAACAAATATCAGCGAGACATGGAGAAAAGGAAACCCTAGTACACTGTTGGGAATGCAAATTGGTAAAACCGCTATGGAAAACGGCATATTATTTTGAATTAAAGTTACTTGAGAAACAGTCAGTGGAAAAAAAGATTTTAAATAACCACTCTGATCTACTTTCTCCTGGAAAGCAGGAAATGACTCTCCCATGTGAAGCTATTCTCTCTGAACCAGGAGGATAGACTGTATCACCAGAGTTAGGGAATTCAAAGCTAAGAAAACTGTATAAACAAACTTTGTTATTTCTACATTAGTCTGCTACCTCAAGAACAAGCCCCTTAGTTTTGTTAAACCTTCACAAATAATTGTTTCTTTCCCTAAAAGTGATATGTAAATAGTCTGCTTTGGTCACTTCAGGGGGTTCCATTTCCATGAGACTTCCATGAATATGAATTAAACTGGTGTTTTTTTTTTCTCCTGTTAATCTGTCTTGTGTCAATTTAATTATTAAATCAACCCAAAGAACTCAAGAAGAATAGGGGGAAATTTTCCCCTCTGGCAGTGCTAAAAATAAAAAGCCCCAAAATCTCCCAAAATTACATTAAATTCAAAATTTGCTAAATAATTAATACTTATTTCACATTTAAAAAGTATTCAGTAAAACATGCCTAATAGGATTCTTAACATGTGGGCCAAATATATCTCAACTGAAAGCCCAATATCATGTATGATGGTGAAATACCAGTTCCATTCCTAAGAGAGTCAGGAATGTGACAAGAAATCTTTGTATTAACCGTCATTATTTGATGACATTTTGTGATATATTCAGGACTATTAGTCAAAGAGTTCCAAGGAGCTGATTTATTGCACTGAGTATAGAGAAACATCTAAAGAAAGAAATAAAAACAGAAATCCAAATATGTATTGTCCATTACTGTTTAAAAAAGCTCCTTTTAAACTATGAAGCTATGAAGTAAAACAAAGTAACCCATAGACCTATTAATTATCATACATATACAAAAGCTGCAGCGATTTGGGACAAACAACAAAAATGTGCAGTGGTGCTGTGAAACAAAGTCTAAAGCTCCCTAAGATAGGATTAACTAATAAGATTAGAAGAAATGACATAATTTGATAGTGAAGAATAATCAAACTTTTGAGTCAGTTGTTCCTTGAATTGAGCACATGTGCCCTCTCTCCCTCGTGTGTGTGTGTGGGTGGGGGGGCAGCTGCAGTTTTGTTTTTTTTCTCCCCCTGAAAAAATAAAGGCAAAGAAATTCTGGAAAATGTAGAGAGAAATCGAGCACACAAGACAAACTATGATCCAAATGGTTCAATATTTAGTAATATACAAAAAGACAAGTCTGTGGTTGTATCAGTAGATCCAGTCAGGATAAAGAAATCACATAGTTATCTGAATAGGGAAACTTTAATATAGAGAATTAACCCAGGGAATTAGAGCTGGAGTAAGGACTCAGGGGACTGGCTAATAAGAAGTAAAATTAACTCTAAATAACAGAGGAATAGTAGCGGTAAGGGGCATTTTCTACCTGTAGGGACAAACGACTGAGATCCAGACCTTCTTGGAGAGGTCACGTGTATAGCTCATGGATGGCAGATACGTTGCCATGGTTTTGCATAATTTGATGAAAATCTAGCCTTAAGAACAGATGAAGGCAACTGAAGAGATGAAGTTTGGAGTTCAGAGGAAGGGCATGTAAGGAAAGGAGACTACATAGGATTACCTTGGGAATGAGTTTAGACAGGGAAGAAGTTCAAGACAGAGTTCTGGGGGTAGGGAAGGGTGTAGCTCAGTAGTAGAGTGCATGCTTAGCATGCGCAAGGTCCTGGGTTCAATCCCCAGTACCTCTGTTAGAAATAAATAAGTAAATAATAAACCAAGTTAACTTTTCCATCCCAAAAATTAAAAAAAATTTTTAAAAAGAACAGAGTTCTGGGTACACCAACATTAGAGGTTAAGGAAAAGATGATGATTCAGCAAAAAGGACTCAGAAAGAGCAACCAATAAGGCATGAGAAAAATCAGACTTGACTGACATGAGACAATCAAGTGAAACAAGGAGTGAGTGATGAAAGCTGTCAAGCCTTGACAGATAAGGCCTGAGAAGTGACTACTGGATTTGCCAGCATGGAGCTCAGTGATGGCTTTGCCAAGTGCTCTCTTGTTGCTAGCAGGCTCAAGAAAGAATGACTTTGTATGGAATATAATCTATAAAAATATCAAATTACTATATATACACCTGAACTATTGTAATATTTTAAGTCAACCACACTTCACTTTAAAAAGAGAGAGAATATGATGTAAGGAAACACCACAAGTACATGTGAGTCTTATGAAATGTTTTGCTACAAAAGGGAACAGAATCACAGGGAGTCAATTTTCACATAAAACTCAGTGGCCTTTGTGCAAATAGGTATAATCAGAAAACCACAAAAATCATTCAAGTTAACCAAAATATATTAGGTCTCCACTGTGTGGAGAGCCCAGTTCTACTAAACAGGAGGATGATGGAGAGAAGACTAAAAAGGACAATACATATCTCATCCCCATGAGGAATACAATAACCCTGAAAGCTCCTATAGAGTGGCAATGCTTAGACAAGGAGCATGGGGTGTCAGGCTTCTACAAGACGGTGCACTGATTCTGAATAAAAGATCAAGGAAGATGGAAGTGACCTTGTCTGGATTTGAAGCATGAGGAAGATTTAACAAGCTTGATCTACTTGTCAGTGAAACAATGAAAGTTAAAAGTTAAACCACTGAGCCAATAAAATTCTCCACTTTGGCAACGTAAGTGCCAAAATTTTGGGGTAATCATTTACCTCTGGGGATTAGGAAATTTTGAGAAGCTGAGAGAAATTTATTTGAATGGAATGAGGATCCTGCACTCCACCTCCCTCAGGTTAGCGTTCAGTTTTTTGCTCTTAATATTCTGCTTTTGAGATGATGGCAATGGGTTTTTTTCCATAGACAGTAACTTAATTTGTTGTTTTGGGGTGGAGATTGTGGGGTTCGGGAAGATAACTCTTCTTTCCTTAGATAATTCTGAAAAATGAGAGAGGATGTCACTTTTTACCTAAAAAAAAAAAAAAAAAAAAGAAAAACCCCAGAATGCCAAGAGAAACAACCCTGAGAATACAATCATCCAAACGGATGGCTGCAGAGACCTGGAGGCAAACCAGCAATTTTAAACTATCTTTTTTAGGGTTAATATCACCCAAATATTGGAATTATAGTAGATGCCTTGCAGCTTAAGATTCATAAATTGTGCTTGTTTTTTAGGGGGTGCTTTAATCAAAAAAAACATTGATCACATCTATGGTGAGATACTAAGTGTAAACTCTGGCAGAGGAAGATTTTCATCAGCACTAAAAAGATCAAATAATCAAAACAGACCAGATATGTCCAAGTAATTTATATATGGGGAAAAGTAAAACAAAATGAAGTCCTACTTGGCTTTGGAAAGTTCTTAATGAGTAAGGAGTTTGGGGCAGAGAACTTTTATTTGGGGGCTATGAGTAAGAGCTACAAACTGTTTTTGTATGGAGGAAATGCTTAGTGCTGAGACCAGGCAGAGATAACATTAATAGCACTGCATGGTACCTTAAGGAAAAGTCTCATTCTACACTGAACTAGTGAATGGCAGAAGAGCAGGATATATCTAATGCAAAGGTAATAGACACAGAAACAGCCTTGGCCGGAGAAACATAGGAAATTGATATAAGAATGACCCGCCCAGTTTCTTTTCAGGTTCTTCCTCATTTACATGGTCTCTAAATAAATAAAGTTGATAACTTTCAAATTTATATTTCTACCTGGGTCCTCTGTCTCAAGCTACAGACTCATAGACACAAGGTCTACTGCACAGTCTTCCCTTCTGGGTCTAACAGGCACCTGAAATCCAACGTGTCCAAAGCAAAACTCTTATTTTGCTTCTGGAAACCTGGTCTCCTCTAGCTCATTCGCCCATCTCCACTGAGCACAAAACCATTCACTCATTTGCTAAAGTCATAAATCTAGAAGTCTTCAATGATCATTCCCGCCTTTTTCTCATCCCGCTATCCACCTCACTAGAAATTCTTCTTGGCTCTAGCTTCAAAACAGATCCTCAATTGGATCTTTTGTGTCATGACCAGCATAACTCAGACAACATCAACTCTTGAATAGGTGACTACAACAGCCTTTTCCCAAGTCTCTTGGTTCTTAGTCTTGTCTCTTATAGACCACACACCCCACAGCAGCCAAGGTAAATCCAATCCCCTTACTCAGCCCATAGGATCCTACGTGGTGTGGTCCCTGACTACCACTTTGATCTCCTCTCCCACTGGTAACCTCCTCACCCACTCTGCACTGGCCATGTTGGTCAAACTTGCTGGTCCCTTTGTCTGGAATGTTCTTGTTCAGAGCTGCTTCCTTCTCATTATTCCCACTGCAATTCAGATATAACTTTCTCATAAACCAGGTAAAGTCATTAGATTTGGTAAAGTAATTGTCCTTTTCTCAAGATGCTAATTACTTAGTCGCTGTCCCTGCTACTCTCATTTTCTTCATGGCATATGTCACTGTTAACTTCTTTCTTTTCACTTTGTGACCATCCTGGAGACTTTGCTGGAGTTAACAAGGCAGTAGAAATTGGCAGTGGAGGGTGAAGGTAGGACAAACTGATGCAGCTGGGGACACGATGCTGGCATTATTGCTGGTTACTAGAAAAACTAGCAAATGCTTCTGTAGTAATAAATATAGAGAAGGGGCAATTTAATGAGAAAAACTAAGTTCTTCAGTCATAAATGCAAGAGAAAGAGCTAAGGTAGCAGAACATCCTATTTATGGGGTCAAAAAATATTTACTGAATCAATAAATGAACTAGTGGTCAGTGAACTCTTAGGCACTGGCACACTAGAAGAGTCCTTATAGGTATAACCCTGTGGGAAAATGTTATTCTGAAAGCTATGTCTTCAATTCCTGTGACTGCTATAATTCTATCAATTCAGTTAATTGCCCTAAGGTGTAAACAGATATGATAAGCAAATTACTTTTACAGCAGAAAATTCAGTCCCTTCTTATGACAGGTTTCTTTTCAGTTACCAGAGCCAATTTTGCCAATGAGCAATGATTTGGATTAATTCAACTTTCAGTGTGTTTCTGGATTCCAAGGTGGACTGGAGGGCTCTTTGTTCTATAATATTTGTGCTTTTGAACGATGTAATGCAGCAACTGTTCTGTTAGTTAACCACTCCCAAGTTTAAGTGAGACGTGCACAGACATTATGTAATGTTTCCACTTACAGTTAAAAACAGTATCATCAAGGAATCAGATATCTACTTGCTACGATAATAATGAAAGTAGTACTCCATAGAGAGAAAGCGGAAACAATTTTATTTCACCAACAACCCCTGCCCTGCCCTACTTCCCTTTACATCTACACGGCCCCATAACTTTTCTGATTATTTTCAGAGAGCAAAAAATCCATTGGTTGTTTTCAGCCTCCAAATAATCTCATGTTATAACTGATAGCTCCAGTCTGATGAAAAGCACAAAACTCCAGACATCACCTAAAATTAGAGTTTCTCCCCATCTGCAGCTCGGGTTGAAGGAAGATGGTTCATTTGGTTTGACTTACTCTCTTTCTCTGTCAGCTCCTTCCCTCACCCTGCTTGCTAGCTGAGGCTTCTGATCCCTCTAGGGCTGGTGGCTAGGGAGATATGGGGTGGTTGGTAAGAGGCAGGAAATGTGGTTTTTAACCAGGACTCATGTGACCTGGCATTGGTACTTTCTGGGCTTGAGTGGGTGTTCAGTGCTAATCTTTTGGAGAGTTCTACACTGGGGACACCCATTGGTCTCCCCCATGTCACAGGTGATGCATGTCCACTGCTCAGCTCTTACTGTTCCTTCCTCAGCTGTTGGGCATACTTCAGTCAGTCCACCCCACTTTTTTGGGGTCATGTGGCCTCTCAAGACAGTTCTTTTGGGCAGGAATTTAGTAGGCTATAAACTGGATCTCTCCTGAGAAGTCTATATCTAATTCAGAAGGACCTGCAGGCCTTTGTCCAGGCATCTTTGCACTTGCTGCTGTGGGAGGTCTGTGTGCCATGGGCCTTTCTCTGCTCTACAGCCCCAGGCTAATAGTCACAGCCCCATGCCCTTAGATTCTGAGGCATGTGTCACTCACCAGCCCCCTTTTCTCTCTCTCACACACATACAGGCACACATACAACACAACCTCCCGGGGACATAAGCTCTGGACGACCCCCTTGCAGGTAACCATCATCGTTTGATTTGAAATAATGGACGGTACCCTCTTCCCCTCTTTCACAGAGGCAGGGTGAACAAGTGATGGAGCATACTAGCAACTTTCTCTAAAGACATTCTCTCAGCTTCTTTATCTCAGCCAGTGTGTGCCCTCAGCTGCCTCATCCTTCTCAAGTCTCTTCCATCACTTTGGAATGAAGCTTACTGTTTTCTTCTCAAAATAGGATAGCTTCAGTCAAACTGGAGTCATAACAGTCCCATGTAAACATCCAGTTGTACCTGCACACACACTTTACCACACACACATACACAGGTGTACACACTTCCTGAAGGTGTCAGTCAGGATGAAAGATTCCTACACTCCACACATTGTGACCCCAGTTTCTTCTGACAGCTTTCTGTTGTTGTAGTTTTAAATGTATTTTTAAATCACAGTAGTTATTCACAAATGCATTATTGTTGTAATGCATTTAAACACCACAGATCAAATTAAATTCCTGTGTGGCCACTCCTTCCCAAGGGACTGACACTCTGCATTCCCTTCTATACAGATGACCAGTGTTGTTAGATCCATGCATCTTAATTTGAAAACCAGAGCTCAGGACAATGTAGATGAGAGCTGTCATTGTCTCAGTGTTGTAAATTTTCTTTTCATAATTTTCTATTCACTTTTAAACACATAAATTACATAATGGAATATTATGTGTGGGTGTGTTTTACTTTATTATCTTGTACTTACTATTCTACAACTTGCTTTTTTCACCCAATATATCTTCTAAATCTTTATATGCTTTTTTATATATATATATATATCTCCAATCGATTCTTTTTTATGACTGTATAGTATCCCCAAATTTACATGTACTTTTCTTAACTATTCAAATATTAACAATCATTAGTTGTTTCTGATATTTTACTTTTACAACTATTGTTACAAGGAGTGTCTTGGGACATACTCTTTGTGTGGCTGTGCAGATGTCATGAAGCAGAAATACTAAGTGGAAGGATGCAGTTTGACAACCTTAAACAACAGTTTATTTACTCCCACTTTTGCCTAAACTCAGTGATGAAAGTCTCTTGCATATTTATGAAAGCTGATGGGTGAGAAATAGTAAGGTACTGTTCTTTTAACTTCCATGACCTTTGTAGTAAGGCAGAGTGCACTTCCCCCTGTTTGTTCTTCGTTTATATTTATGTATTGTTCTGATGGTTACCTACTCTTCCCCCATTTTCCTGTATTTTTGTCTTTTTCTATTATCTTGAAGAAGTTTAAAAAGCACCACTCTCTTACTGGATTTCATACTGAAATTTCTCCTTTTCTGTCAATGACTTTTATGGCAGCTATTGCTATACATAAGTCTTATGCTTTTTGTATCCTGCAGTATCCTTATGATATATCTAGATGTAGATTTAATTTCATTTCTCTGGTTTGAGACTCACTGTGATTCCTGAATCTGAGAAATCTTGAGTTTTATCTATTCTGAAAAATTTTGATTCATTATTTCTTAAAGAGACATGAGAACACAGAACTGGAAAGAATATTATGATCTATTAAGGCAATCCAGGCCAGATCCCTCATTTTAGAGAAGCAGAGACGTGACATTCCCAAGACCACACATCTGGATGGTGATCGAGTCTGGACAACAAACCAGGTCTCCTGAACCCGAATCTAACTCTTTTTCCACCAGACGTTTTCTCCTAATTCTTAGAAGAATTGGGGCCATGCCATGTATGATATGGGACACTTTTCTCTGTATTCTTTTACTTCAGTAGGTAAACGCCAGTCCCTGAGAGAAGAGAACCAAAATGTCCACTACAGTAGAAGCTGAGGTCACAGGGGAAGGTATTGTCAATGATGGCAATTTAAACACAGCTCAAGCGCGTACCTCCAGGAAAGGTAAAACCATGTACTGGGGTGTGAATAAAACTGGGATCTATGTCACCTCATCTTCCCTTTGGTAATATATAGCATCTTCTTGCTACAACTAATTGCCAAGAATTCTATATAGCTGTAAAGCATTTTTACTGAGAATTACTTCATTTCATGCAAGAAACCTTGAAGGACAGGTAGGTATCAAGATATTATTTATAGATAAAGAAAAAATTCAGAGTGGACGCTAAGTAGACAATACAGAAGCCAACCTTGGCTTTTCTGATTCTAAATAAGCATTCCATTAGATCTTTCTGCTAATATTAGATCCAGACCTGCCTCAAGGAGAAAGGCTTTTTCTTTATACCATATCGTAGAAGTCAATTTTCCTCCTCCCTTTCAGGTATATTACAATGTAGTGCTTTTCTATAATATGTCATAAGGGAAGCTGCTGAACACCTTATTTTACCCTAAACTCTTAATGACTTATAACTATGTATATTAATTCTCTTAAGGATGTAGGCTTTTCATAAGACAATGCCTTTAAAAAGTAAAACACTAACCAAGATGGAATGTTTTGCAAGACTCAACATTTTAGCCAGTATGTTTGCTGGGAAGTGAACAGGCCTTAAGGAAAAGAGGATTCACCTAATCTTACCCATCAAAGAGGAAATCTGGAGACATGCATTCAAATATTCCCCCTACAATTAACTACCATTTGATATGGAATGAATACTGCTCCATTGCCTCAGCTTCCCCTTCTGTAAAGTGGAAGAGTTTGTATCTCTAAAGATCCCATCCATTTCTAAATATTTAGGAGTCCATTGGACTATATACTATTAGCCAAATCCTCCTATCTTCTCTTTTTCTCTTAAAATCAGTAATACAGAGAACTTACATATAAAAATTTTCCATGGCACAATATAGCATATTGAGTAAGAGTACAGATTAGACGCCAGACTGCCTGTGTTTGCAGTCCTGATTTTGCATTTTATGAGCTGTGTGACCTTAGGCAAATCACATAAACTTAGGCAAATTACTTAAACTTTGTGACTCAGTTTCCTAATTTGCAAAAATGAGATGATGATAAGAGCATATACCTCACAGGATTTCCATGAGGACTAAACTAGTTATAATATGTAAACCATTTAGAACAATGCCTGGCACATAGTAAACATTGTATAAACTTTAGCTCTCATTATTATCTCTCACACAGTGCCCCTCCTCCACCCACTTTTTGGCAGTCATGGGAACTCTCCATGATAATTTGTCAAAAGTGGGACTCATATGGCCTTTCCAGTTTTTTCCACAGTCTTCTAGGGCACCCCACCCCACCATGCTGCTTAGTCCTCTGGTGACTACCCCTTAACCCCAGTCTGTTATTACAAGTGGCATTATGCTAATAATATTAATCCTTTTTTGGCTACGTCTCCTCCCACCTGATAAGGCAGAACCTCAACTACTCCTCAAAGTCCCACCTGGTTATTTTGTTGGATCTCCAAGTATTTTTCATAAGTGCTTATGAATAAACTTTGCTGGCTTTCCAACATCAGTTTTCCCCTCACCTCTCTTTCTCCGGTCCATACTCACTGAGCACTGCTGGGTCCTCTGTATCACACCCTCAGGACACTGCTGGGGTTTTCTCTCCATACTGGTACCCCTAAAGGCTACTGATATCTTTGCTGGTCATGGCTGTGCATCTAAGACACTCACTGAATCAAATCCAGGAGTTCCATGGCATGTGAGGAAATGCCCCCTCCCCCATTATATGTCACATCTGGCCATATGGTCACATAATAGAGTTGCTTATGCTCTTCTATCTCTAGAGAGGCTGGGTGAAAAAAGCTGGACCTTCAGGTTCTGCTGGAAGATTCTTCTGTCAATCCCTGGAAATTACCAAGAGCATTGCTACACAACAGGGAGCAGTGCTGGCCACTTCAAGCATTTGATCCCTTGCAGGAGCCAGGAAATGGGGCACCTACATGCCTTGAGGACAGGGATCACTTATTATACCTCTGGGATCTCTCTCCAGGGATATTCAGTCAGTCCTGCCAGCTGTTGTCAAACTAATGTATCTAGACTCAACCCCAGGGGTAACCCCAGAGTTCCCCTGGATCACTGGCAAATTCTGTGCAAGCCTAGATTACAGTATCAAGATGAAGTTTAAATACTTCTATAGTCTAACCTAGCCTACCTTTCAAGCCTCATCTCCTCCCATTTTAATCTGCCATGTTCCTTGGTTGTATATGGTACTGAAAGCCACCCCAGCTGCCCAAGTCAGTCACTTGGGGATCATTTCCAACAACTTCTGTCTCTTACTATCAGTATCCAATCAGTTGCAGCTTCCAGCCAATTCTCTGTCTAAATCCACTTCATTCCATTCCGGCTTTCATCAGCTCATACCAGGACCCTGCCTGGAAAACTCTGCTTAATGCTTACTCTGACCAATTCCAATTTCACACATTCTTTAAGTCTCTGCTTGAGTAATGGTTCAGAGTGAGTTATTGGGCCCCTCATCTCGTAGGGGTACAGGTGTCCACCAGATGCCTACTGAATAACATTTGCTCTCTCGATATTGCTGCCTCACAGACAGACTGCAATCTCTTCCCACTTCCAGATTTAGGGAGGGTGGGAGAAAAGCATACCAATTTTAAGACTTTCTGTACCCTCTTGTTTCAGGCTTTTGTTCAGTCCGTCATGGGCTAGCCTTTATCATGCATCTCTGTAATTTTTCGATTTTAACCCAACAAATGAACATGAGCATTGCCATCCCAGCTATGGTGAACAACACAGCCCCGCCCAGCTTACCCAATGCCTCCACAGAAAAGCCACCCACTGAATCCCAGGATAACTGGAATGAAACTCTGGAGGAATTCAAGGTTGTGGTAAGTTTAAAGAGACTCTGGATCCTTTCTTTGACTCAAATATTTTGAACTAAAGAATTATTTATTGAGCATTGGCTGTATTCAAGGAATTATATTACACAAGAACATAATTTGTATATGAAGTTTTATCGTGACTAAGTGCCTGTAAGTGTAACTAGGGACTAAATTAGAATGAAGGAAACAGATTTTTACCATTTAGTGAGCACAAATTCTTCCCTATGATGAAAATCATCACAAAATAAGTTTCACATATTTACGTTTACTTTCCCTTTCTTCCTTCACATATTTTTAAATTACCTTGTCTATGATGCTTTCTTCTCTACAGGCTTTCTTTTCTTATAAGCTCTCATACTTTAATTGGTCAGTTAATTGTGTAACTGAGGAAACTGTGGGAAGGGAAGGAGAATGTTGGGTATATGCTTAGGTTTTCTTGATAAAATTGGTAGATTGGAGGGCTTGGAGAGAGGTAAGAGGAAAGAGAACTGCCAATTATTTTCTTGCCTCTCAAGTACTCACAACAAAAACTGTCATCTCTCTAGCCAGAGATAAACAGTGATATTCTCTTTGTCATCTAGGCTGCTATGTATGACTGGAGTCCTGAAATCCAGGGAATCATCCTCAGCTCACTCAACTTTGGCTCATTCTTGGCTCCAATCCCTAGTGTCTTTCTGGTTGAACTATTTGGAGCTAGGTACTTGACTGGTGCTGGCATATTTATTTCCTCAGTCCTGAACCTCTTCATTCCACTAGCAGCTGATACTGGAGTGACTTTGCTTATTGTCCTACGGGTCATCCAAGGCCTAGTTCAGGTACCAAGATGTTTTCTAAGTATGAGTAGAACATAGATTCCAAAATGACCTCAGGTAGCCAAGAATCAACTGTTTTTCCAGGTTTTGGCATTAACATGTCAGTATTCAATCTGGGCCAGATGGGCTCCTCCAATGGAAAGGAGTCAACTCACCACCATTGCTCTATCAGGTAACTGATACCCTAATTTTCACCTTATGTGCCCTGTCCAAGAGTACTCTGCAATGGCTTATCAACAGAAACCAAAACCTTGTATTCTAACTGCTCTGTCTTCTTGCTCTAAGACAATATCCTATACTTTCTTTCTTGAGCTTAACCAAAGGTTTTCTGGGCACCAAACATTCCTGCAAATGCTTTTAATTTCATTTTAGTCTCAGAACAATCTTACAACTCACTTATATATAACTATTTCCATTTCATCCATAAAGGAATTTGAAACACAAATAGACTAATAACTTGTCCAAAATCACACAGCTACTGAGTAAAGGAGCAGAATTTGAACTTTGTAGTCTGGGTTGCAACTCAACTTTATGATGAAATCTATCTGTAAGAAGCACACAGAGTCCCACGTCTGACTTTCTCACCTAGAACATCTTCTGTTTAGGGTCAGTGCTGGGCTGCTTCATCATCTTCCTTGCTGGTGGTCACATCTGCCAGACCATAGGATGGCCTTATGTCTTCTATATCTTCGGTGAGTTTGTGCTTTTCAAATCTCAGAATCTTGTTTTATGACAGAAGCTGCTGGGCATGATTTCTGTGATGCAAATCATCTATGGTTAACCAAATCCTAATAGATATACATATTTATGTAGCTAAAGTTGATAATGTTCAGAGTTTATCATGTGAAACTTGCAAATGACATTTGAGTTTTAACATCCTGATTGCCTAACTAGAATAACCTGATGTCATTAAAGGCATCATAACAATCTTTCCTGCTTCTATATTAAATCCACAAAGGGGCTCAGAAGAATTTCTTTCATAAGATGTTGAAAATGTAATCTTGGTGGGGTTATATTTTTAGTTATGCTATTTATTTAATACATTCTTTTAAATTTCTCCCATTATTACTACAACCAGAAAATTGTGGAAATGTGACCTAATCATAGGCAAAATACCGATTGGAGGAGGGAATTAAACAGTAGAGGCTGCAATTCAGAGCAGACAAATGTGAGGCTCAGGCATGGACGTAATATACAGAGGGATGCCGTGGAAAGGTTCCCAAGATATATGGAATGTTCCAGAGGCAAAATTCTACTACTTCACAATTTTGCCTTTAAGCAGCCCTGGGTGGGATCTTCCCAGATGCTGTCAGCTAATGCTTGTGTTTGTTTGATTTCTGAAACATTTTCTGGAATCCCATCTACAAACTGCCTAATTCCAGTGGGACCAGTAAATCCTGGTGTTTTTCATTAGAGGATAATATTCTTAGATCCAGGGTTCCTATAACATCAGGCCAATGCATTTGCTAGACAAAAATGTATAAAGATTGATTACTATAGCAGATCAACTTTTAAAGGCTCTGTCATGGAAACCTTAAAAGGGCAGGTCACAAAATTTTCAAGCAATGAGAGAGGCTTACTGTATTCCTGGTTTTGAGAAACAGTAAGCAGTATATACAAAATTAGAACTCACTAAACATTTGTTGAATCAATGTTAACATCCTCCATCCTCAGTGTACAACAGTGCTCCTTTTCATATCTCTTACCCCCTTTTTGATTTTAAGTTCCTTGATGACAAAATTGTGTCTTTGGGTTCTCATATTCTCAAAATCTAGCAGAATGCCTTGTGTATGGTGGCTGCTCTATATCTGTGAAGGGATGTATAAATGACAAACTAGCAAGTGAAGAGAACTTTCAAGACTTTCTTAAGAGTTTAAAAAGGGAATTTTTATACGAATCATATTTCCACTTAATACTAATAATGTTGAGTTGTCCACTACTGTAATCATGTATATATTAGAGAAAATATCTTTGCTGAGGATTAATTTCATTCCATGTTTAAAAACTGAGTAATCAGCTGCACATATGTATTGCTGCTAATTCTTAAGTATTAGAGATGGATAAGAAAAAGTTTAATGATGACAGGAACTTTGAAGAAGCATGACCAACATGAGGGATGCTGGCTGATATCTCGACAGTGAGAGCATTTCAAGCACATGGGTCAAACACACTAATAACTTGAATTTAAGATACAGCCTTAACAATGGTACATTTTAAAACTTCCCCAAACTCAGTGATTTAAAACAATAATCACTTAGTCTCTTCGTTTTGGGGGACAGCTGGGCAGCTCCTCTGCCTGTGTCTCTCATCTACCTTGGACAATGGGTGAGCTAGAACATTTTCTTCCTATGTCGATGGCTAAGAATCGAGAGGACAAGGGGAAAAACACAGTGCTTCTTAAGGTCTAGGCTCTGAACTCCTCCATGTCATTGGCAAAAGTAAGTTTCACGGCAGAAGCCAAAGTCAATGGCAAGGAAGTATCCTCCACCTATGATAGATCTATGAAGGGATAGATGCAGGGAGGAGCGGAGTATTGGGGCCATTCTATCAACCACAGGAAACATCTCAGGGCAGAGTCAAACTGGTAGAACTCCAATCCTGTGCTAAGTAGATCTTTCCCTAGGTGGAACTGGCTGTGCCTGTTCTTTTCTCTGGATTCTTCTCATTTATGACGACCCTGTGAATCATCCATTTATCAGCACTAATGAGAAGGAATACATCATCTTTTCACTGGCTCAAGAGGTAAACTGGAGAACTCCTCTGCCATTTCCCTATGTCTGTCTGGATGCCTCAGAGGTGAAGAGTGCAGTAAAGAAAGCTCTTGTCTTCAGATGGAGGCGATATTGATATGTGCTTTCTTCCAGGATTCTCCACCAGGCTGGTCTTTTCCTATTAAGGATATGCTCAAATCCCTACCACTTTGGAGCATTCTCATCTTTCATTTCACTGATTACTGGCATTTTTTTCTCATAACGATGTACACACCAATATACATCAACTCTGTACTTCAAGCTAACATCAGAGATGTAAGTATAGAGAAAACTCATTCTGTTCTCCTGTTGCTTCATATATAACCCTTTCTCTCTCCTATGGTCACCAGGGATTAGGCCCAGCATCTTTATGTAGGAAACACAACCTGATTTACTTGAGTTCTGATTCACCTCAATGTATCCTACTGCTTATTGGGGCAGAGTGGTATGGCTTTAGGTCAACTTGACATTCATAGAATGTCATATGTTTTAAGGGACCTATAAGAACATCTTATGGTTTACTCATCTATAAAATAAACAGCTTGGACCAAGTGACAGTGAGATCCTTTATGCTGTTCGGATTATACACAACAAAGGATGGTCTCCTTTCCTTGCATTTTTTTAAATAGCATTTTAGTTTTGGAGTTGAATTGATAACAGGAATCAACACTTTACAAACTATATAAAAAGGTAAAGAGTGAAAAATCTTACTCTCATTCCTGTCCTTAATCCGCCGTTTTCTCAGTCCATTCCACAGATAAATTTTTTCATTAATTTCTTATTATTCTTCCATTGTTTCTTTATGATAATACAAGTATACATGAACATATATTCTTATTATATTCTTTATTCATTTTTTTACACAAAACATTATATACTGTATATGTTGGTATTTTTTATATGCTGTACAATAGGGATCTTTTCCTTTCAGTACGTGAGAAACTTGTTAAGCAACACTTGGGTTGTTTCCAATCATTCAGCAGTGCTGCAGTGAGAACCTTGTTCATTTGTCATACATTTGCACAACTATTTCTGTAAATTTCTATATATCTGAGTCAGGGATAAAAGCAATATATAAATTTATATATATATTTATTGAAGTATAGTTAATGTACAATATTACATTAGTTTCAGGGGTACAACATAGTGATTCAGTATTTTTAAAGTTATTGTAAAATATTGGTTATATTCCTTGTGTTGTACAATATATACTTGTAGCTTATTTGTTTTATACATAGTGCCTCTTAATTTTCTGCCCCTATCTTGCCCCCTCTTTTTCCTCTCCCCACTGGTTACTGCTACTTTGTTCTCTATATCTGTGAATCTGTTTCTGTTTTGTTATATTCATTCATTTGTTTTACTTTTTAGATTTCATATATATGTGATAACATACATTATCTTTCTCTGACTGACTTATTTCACTAAGCATAATACCCTCTAGGTCCATCTATATTGTTGCAAATGGCAAAATTTCATTCTTTTTTGTGGCTGAGATTAATATTCCACTGTAAATACATATACAACTTCTATACATTCACCTGCTGATGGACACAGGTTGCTTCCATATCTTGGTTATTGTGAATAATGCAGCTATAAACATTGGGGTGAATGTATCTTTTCCAATTAGTGTTTTCATTTGCTTCGGATATACTGTTGAATTTCGTTTGCTAACATTTTGGTGAGAATATTTGCTTCTGTGTTCATCAGAGATATTGGCCTATAATTTTCTTTTTTTTGTAGTGCCTTTGTCTGGTGTTGGTATCAGGGTAATAGTGGCCTCATGGAATGAAATTGAGATGTTACCTCCTCTTCAATTTTCTTGGAATAGTTTGAGAAAGATAGGTATTAGCCCCTCGTTATATGTTTGGTAGAATTCTCCTGTGAAGCTGTTCGGTCCTAGACTTTTGTTACTGGGAGTTTATTTTTTTTATTGCAAATTCAATTTCGCTACCAGTGATTGGTCTGTTCTGATTGTCTATTCCTGGTTAAATCCATGTATGTTTCTAAAATGTGTCTATTTCTTCTAGGTTGTCCAATTTATTGGCATATAACTGTTCACAGTATTCTCATATGATTTTTTTTGTATCTCTGAGGTATTGGGTGTTATTTTTCCTCTTTCATTTCTTATTTTGTTTGTTTGGGTCCTCTCTCTTTTCTTCTTACTGAGCTTAGCTCAATGTTTGTCAATTATGTTTATCCTTTCTTGATTTCACTGATCTTTTATATTGTTTTTCTGTTTTATTTTTGGTCTCTTTTATTTCCTTTCTGATCTTCAGTATTTCCTTCCTTCTGCTGACTCTGGGCTTTGTTCTTTTTCTAATTCCTTTAGGTAGTAGGTTAGGTATTTTATTTGAGCTTTTTCTTGTTTCTTGAGGAAGGCCTGTATTGCTATAAACTTTGTTCTTAGAACTGCTTTTGTTGCATCCCATAGATTTTGGAGTGCTGTGTTTCCAGTTGCATTTGTCTCAAGGTATTTTTGATTTCCTCTTTGATTTCTTCATTAACCTATTGGTTTTTTTTTTAGCAGCATGTTCTTTAGTGTCCACATGTTTGTGTTTTTCCTATTTTTCTTCCTGTAATTGATTTCTAGTTTCATACCACTGTGGTCAGAAAAAAATGCTTGATATAATTTCTATCCTCTTAAGTTTGTTAAAACTTGCTTTGTAGCCTGGCATGTGATTCATCCTGGAGAACATTGTATGTGCACTTGAAAAGATTATGTATTCTGCTGCTTTTGAATGGAATGTCCTGTAAGTTCAACTGGTCTATTGTGTCATTTAAGACCATTGTTTCCTTCTTGATTTTCTGTCTGAATGATCTGTCCATTGATGTAAGGGAAGTGTTAAAGTCCCCTATTATTATTGTACTATTGTCAATTTCTCTCTTTATGTCTTAGTATTTGCTTAATATATTTAGGCCCGCTTATATTAGGTGCATGTGTGTTAAAGAGTGTTATATCTTTTTGTATTGATCCTTTATCATTATATAATGCCCTTCTTTGTCTTTTATTATAGACTTTGTTTTAAAGTCTGTTTTGTTTCATATGAGTATTGCTACCTCTGCTTTTTTGTCATTTCCATTTGTAAGAAATATCTTCCTATCCTCTCACTTTCAATCTGTATACATCTTTAGCTCTGAAGTGATTCTTTGTAAGCAGCATATAGATAGGGCTTGTTTTTTATTCTAGTTAGCCACTCTGTGTCTTTTGATTAGAGCATTCAGTCCATTGACATTTAAAGTGATTACTGATAGGTATGTACTTACTGCCATTTTGTTACTTTTTTTTACTGGTTGTTTTAAATAGTTCTTCTCTGTTCTTTTTCTTTTAGTTTATTCCCTGTGATTTGATGATTTTTTTTTTTTTACTGGTATGCTTGTGTTACTTTCTCTCTCTTTTTTTTTTTTTTTGTATCTATTGTAGGTTTCTGATTTGTGGTACCATGAGGTTCGTGTATGTTTACCTATATCTGCTTGTTTTAAACTGGTAGTCATTTAACTGAAACGTGTTCTAAAATATCCACATTTTTACTCCCCTCCTCTGTATTTTGTGTTTTTGATGTCATATTTTACATCTTCATGTTTATCCCTTTACTGTTTATTTACAGTTGATTTTACAATTTATGGTCTTTTAATCTTCATGCTAGCCTATGTAAGTGAATGATCCACAGGCTTTACTATCTATTTTCCTTTACTAGTAGGATTTCCTTTCCCATAGAGTCTTTCTTCTTGTTGTAGCCTTTTCTTTTCCACTGTGAGAAGATTCTTTAAAATTTTTAGGGTGTAGATTTAGTATTGATTAACTTTTTTAGTTTTTTGCTTGTCTGAGAAGTTCTTTATCTCTCCTTCAATTCTAAATGATAATCTTGCTGAGTAGAGCATCCTAGGTTGCAGGTTTTCCTCTTTCAGTGCTCTAAATATATCATGCCACTCCCTGCTGGTCTGCAGTTTCCACAGAATAATCAGCTGATAGTCTTAGGGAGGCTCCCTTATATGTGACTGTTTTTCTCTTGCTGCCTTTATAATGCTCTTTAACTTTCACTGTTTTAATTGTGATACGTCTTTGTGTGAGTCTGGGTTCATCTTGTTTGGGACCCTCTGTGCTTCCTGTACCTGGATATCTGCCTCCTTCTTCATATTTGGCAACTTTTTTAGCCATAGTTTTATCAAATACATTTTTGACCCTTTTATCTCTCTCTTTTCCTTTTGGGACTCCTATGGTGGGAATCATGGTTTGCTTAATGTTATCCTAGAGATCTCTTAAACTCATCTCATTTAAAAAATTTGTTTTTCTTTTTGCAGCTCTGATTGAATGATTTCCATTATTCTCTCTTCCAGATTACATATGCATTCTTCTGTATCACTTAGCCTGCTATTCCTTTCAATGTGTTTTTCATTTCAGTTATTGTATTCCTCAGTTCTGGCTGGTTCTTTTTAATATTTTCTACTTCCTTGTAAAATTCTGTGTTCATCTATTCATTTCTTTAATTCAGTTAGCATTCTTATTAATACTTTGAACTCTTATCTGGTACATTATTTCTCTTTCATTAGTTGTTTTTTTCAGGGGTTTTCTCTTGTTCTTTCATTTGAATTAAATTCCTCTGTCTCCTCATTTTGCTTAACTGTCTCTGTCTCTATGAAATTAGGTGAAACAGTTACCTATCCTGATCTTGGAGGGGCATCCTTGTGTGGAAGCATACCTATAGAGTCTGCATGGGCCCAGCATCTTTGGTAGGAGAGCTGGATCTGGTGTGAGCATGAGTTACTCTTCCCCCAGGGTGTGCTGACAGCTATCACTGGGGTAGGAGGTAGGGCTGGAGGCAGAAGGGTCAGAGCAAGAGCCAGTTGTGAACCAGGGCTTCTCTTTGGTTTGGTGGCCAACACCACACTATTCAGGTAAAGTGGGTCCCAAATTGCTGTCACTTATTATTCTTTTGCTGTAAACTGTCCATTCATATCCTATTTTTCTGCTGGGTTTTGTTCTTTTCAATATCGATTTCCACATGATCTTTATATATGAAGACAGCGTTAGTCTATTTTTTTTCCACCTGAACTGTAGGCATATTTTTCCTCAGGCACTAAAATTATATTGGCTCATTCCAGTAACTGGAATTTATATTAAAGGTGATGTGTATAAAAGAAACGCTATAGATGTAGACAGTCAATCCAGGGATCAATCTGTGTCATGGTGGGGTTAGTGAGGCATGTACCTCACCTCAATTCTCATTCTCAGAGTGGGATCCTGTCAGCACTGCCCTTTGCTTCTGCCTCTATCTTCATTGTCCTTGAAGGTCTATTGGCAGACTTTCTCCTCTCCAGAAAGATCCTCAAACTCATTACCATCAGGAAACTCTTCACCACCATAGGTAAGAACCAAGGTGGATACAGGGGTGGATATGGGATGCACAGGGCAGCTTCCTATTCACTCTGTGTTTGTCCTCCTGCCCCAGGGGTTCTCTTTCCAGCTGCACTCTCTGTGTCCCTTTTTTGGGTCAGATCCAGCTTCAGCACCACTATGGTCTTCTTGATGCTGTCTTCTGTCATCAAAAGCCTCATCCAATCAGGAGCCTTTGTCAACTTCTTGGATATCGCTCCTCGGTAGGGATCCCTTTACCTAATCCTCACAGAAGCTCAGTTCAGGTCCAGCATCCCTAAACCTGCTCTGACATATGGATAAAATGTGAGTGATATATACAATGGGTCACAGGAAATGTTACTACCAGCCCTACATCCAAATAATTCCTGGAAGGGACCCAAAGCTAGCCAACCACTGTAAGCTTAGTTTTTCCAGATGAAAATAGGAGTCAGTGGCCACACTCACAATTCAGCTAGGGGAGAGTCACACCAATCTATGTTGGGGAATGCAGCAGTTACACAGGGCTGGGTCACCGAAAAGACTCATGAAACTTCACAGGGCATTCTCATGTAAGGCTTTAATAGAGGTAAAGGATACAGGATAGCAGGAGAAAAATTTACCTCTGATATAGACAAATATCAGAGATGACTAAGACTTCCAAATGTAGCTCCCAGGGACTGTCCACAGACTGTTCGTAGTCAACAGGGCATATTTCATCTTCAGATAATGAACCACCAAGTTACATGCGAGATACTTTGGTTTCAGGGAAGCCAATGTTTCATCCAAAGAGGAGACTTTTATACCTAAAAACAAGGCTGAAAGATCCGGCTCTAGAGCAGAAGCCAAAAGAACATACAAACTAGGTGCCAACCACCAGTCTGTATATTTTTTATAAAGAATGTTGACAAGTTAATGTAGATTGCCCCTTAGAAGTCCTAGAGAACTGCACTGGATTATATTAATCACTAGTCAGTACATTTCACTCAGGGTTGACCAAGGGTCAGCACACCTCCAGGAATCTTTAGAGATAAGCAAAGAGTTGCAAAGATCAGCTGAGATTAAACACTTGCTTACACAGGAATATTTTTTTTCTCTCACTTTCTCTCTCCCTCCAGGTACAGTGCTTTACTCAGGGGACTAACACAAATATTTTCGTACATGGCAGGAGCCATCTCTCCCACTGTTGCTGGATTTCTCATTGAGCAGGTAAGGTCAAATTTCTGATGCGTATGATAGTCACAAGAATTACCTAGAAAGGTCATCTCTCATTCTTACCCTAGGTTCAACTTGTGCAGAGAAATTATCACATGCTTAGGATGTGGAGTGAGGGAGAATGGTCAATTGTATGAGTTTATGCTTTATGAGCTCTTAGAAGATGAATTTCTCATGCTAATCATCAAATTTTCTAGCAATATTCATGGTATTTCTTACATAGAATGGCCACCATTTTGGTTTACCTGGGACTGAGGGTTTTTCCTGGGATGTGGGACTTTCAATCTTAAAATGCTGAAAATTCCAGGCAATTCAGAAAGAGTTGGTCACCCTATGTAGCAACCCAACAAATATTTACAGAACCAATGAGCGAGACGCTAAGCTTATGACAGAGTGAAGAAGCAGCCTGCACCTCACATATATGCTCATCAGTGGTTAGTGCAGAAATTTCTCTAACCAGTATTGCTTGCATTGCATACTGTTTTTATATTCCTACAGCCTTCCAACCTGGGATAAACATTTAAAGTTGTCATAATAAACAAATTCATCTGATAACTCGAGCATTTCCTAAGAATCATACTGATACAGACTTTACATGAAGAAAGATGTATATGACATTCACCTGGGACTCATTCTTTCAATTTCCTGTGGTTTCCCCCAGCAAGTCAGGAAAATGAATGGAAAGTAACACAGAAAGGGTATTCTTTTTGATATCAAGTCCTTTCTTTCTTTCTTTCTTTCTTTTTTTTTTTTTTTTGAAGCTTCAGTTCTCTTCTGGCCACTGACTAACACACTGTCAGGAAATGACTGCTTAAAATGGATATTCTCAACCTGCCCTTGTTTCCCTCATCACTCACTCACTCACTCACTCATCTCTTCATTCAGTCAACAAATACGCACTGAACATTAGCATGTGCCATGCACCATTTAAGTGAATAAAACAAAAATCCCTGTCCTTGTAAAGTCGATATTGTAGGAAAGGAACTGACAGAAAGTTAATGAACTAAACAAAAACATGGTACAATGAATGATGGTTAAGGGCTAAGAGAAGAATAAAGCAGGAGAGGAGAACGGGGCACATAAGAGGGGGCGGGAGTTCCATTTTAAGTAGGGTGGTCAAGGAAGGGCTTATTGAAAAAGTAACATTAAGCAAGGACAGGAAGCAAGCAAATGGGCAAGACAAATGGCTATCAAGGGAGTAAGAACATGCCAACAGAGGGGAAGGCCAGGGCACCAGAAATTTACCTGTATATTCCAGAAACAACCAGAGACATAATACGGGCAGAGTTGGGGGTGGGGGCAGTAGGACATAGTGCCGAGCCTTTCTGAACCAGGAAGAACGAGAACTAGGAGACTGTTAATAACTTGTAGTTTCCTACTTCCAGGATTCAGAGTTTGGCTGGAGAAATGTCTTCTTGCTTGCAGCTGTTGTGGGCATATCAGGCCTGGTTTTCTACCTCATCTTTGCCCAAGCAGAGGTGCAGGACTGGGCTAAAAGAAGGCATTCACCCACTTGTGAGCAAATCTAGTGATGCCCCAGACACCAGTGCTTAGGTGTTCACTCTTTGCTCTTGTGGACATTCCCCTTTCATGCCTGCTTAAATAATGAGCCTTTCAACTTGAATTGACTTTGTTTCCACTATCTTCTCAGAGGCCTTGGCTATGTCATACTGAATGTTCTGCCTGGAGCGTTTATGGGGGATGGGGAGAGGAAGGCTAATTATTTGACTGTGAGCTCCTGAAAGCATAAGTGTGTCTGAATTTCTGTGTGTTCTCTACTCTTTTCACTGTTATTATGACATAAGAAGAAATATATATTTAGTCTATATCCCCAGTTTCTGGCACAGAGCTCCTAAAACCTTTGTAATTTCCTGAGTGACAGGGATGATAGGAGCATCTTTTGTTAAAATATTTGGTCTTAGTCCCTTGCTCCTGACAGAAGAACTTCTAAGATCCTTGGAATCTCTGAAGGAATGAAAGTGTCTTTTTGGTATACTAGGACATGACTGGCGGCTGGGGGCTCTAGGTAGCTTCAGGATGGGGGATGGCTGCCAAAAAGACCAAGGTGTGATTAGAAGGCTGGAACTTTCAGCTCCATCATCCCACGTCCAGGGAGCAGAAACAGGCTAGAGATTTAGTTGTTCCTCAATGGCCAAGACTTAATCAATTATGCCTACACAATAAAACCTCTGCCCTAAACAGTGAGGTTCTGAGAACTTCTGGGTTGATGAGTGCATGGAGGGGCTGGGAGAGTGGTGCCCCTAGAGAGGGCATGGAAGCCCTGCCTCTCTTCCCACATGGCTTGCCCTGTGCATCTCTTCCATTTGGCAGTTCCTGAGTTGCACTCTTTCCTATGCAAACTGGTAATAGTAGGGTAAGTTTTCTTGAGTTCTGAGTCATTCTAGCAAATTATCAAACCTGATGAGGGGGTTATAGGAAACCCCAATTCTGAGGCTAAATCAAACAGAAGTATGGGTACCTTGGGCACCCACTACTTTGATTGGTGTCTGGGTAATTACTGTCAGAATTGAATTAAACTGTAGGACAGCCAGTCGGGGTCCACAGAGAACTGGAGAACAGCTTGGTGTGGAGAACCCATACATCTGGTGTCAGAAGTATTGTGAGCAGAGAGACAATTTTCCTTCAATTATTCTGATAAAAGCATCAGAGGCTGGAGGGCAGTTTCTCACCAGAGAAAAAGAGGAAGCCAGAATCATGCAAGTAAAAACTTACATCTTGGTAAACAGACATTGTCCAGTTTCTCCGTCACCCCTCAAACATTTGTTCATGCTGCCACTCCCATCTCAGATGCCCTTCCTTTCTTCCTCTATTAGAATCTCACCTGCCTTCAGTGGCTCTCATTCAGCATTCATTTTGTTAACCTAACATGTCTTCCGAAAATGCATGTGAGACCTATGCTGACTTGACCCCATTTTCAAATGTCTGGAGAGTGTATGGTGTATCTGCTTTCATTAAGCTCCCATGTGAGCAGCATGAGGGCCATGAAAAGGAGCAAAAACACTGAGCAGTAAATAAACATTAATGAACATATAGCATGGGGCATGGCAGAGACTAAAGCCAGACATAGCTTTAGGGAGCTCAACATCTCAGGAGGGTGGATGACTTTTAATCAAAGTGCCACACAAGTGAACATGCAGTGGCTATGGAATGAAATAATGAGGACACCAGGCTATGAGTGTGAATGATAAGGGCATATGCACGAGTCTGAGGGTGATGGAGGGCCCCGACTATGAAGTTTCAATAAGCTGAAATCTGAAGGGTGATAGTTAACTAATGCAGGAAATGGATGAAAAGAACATTCTAAGGAGAGGGCACAGAGTAAGCAAAGGTTTGGTGGCAAGAGGGAGCAATCAAGTATGACCAGAGTACGGAGATTAAGGGAAGCCTGGTTTGTGAGGAGGCTGTGGAAGTATGTAGAGTAGTGGCATTCAGGACACGCCACCCCTAAATATGGCACTTTGGAATATTTAGAGATCTTAAGCCAAAGGAGTTTTTTAAAAACAGCAGAAGCAGGAAGGCCCCACTGATCTCTGTCCCTGGTCACAAAACTCCGATGTGAAAGATGCCCTCCTTTGTACCAGAAGGAAGGAAGACAGTCTTATCACCAGAGTCACGGAACTGGGGGCCAAGAAATCTGTACAAAGAAAACTTGTTAAACTAAACTTTTTCTTTTTAGTCATTTCTTTACTACTTCCTACCCCTAGCCCAAACCCCTTTGTCTTATCAATTCTTCACAAATTTATTGTTTCTTTGTCTACAAGATATAAACGCTTCCTGCTCTGGTCAATTCTTCAGGTCTTCATTTTCTTGTGAAAACTCCCTTATACATGTAAAAATTCAATAAAAGTTATATGCTTTTCCTCCTGTTAATCTGTCTTTTTTTTTTGTCAGTTTAATTTTCAGATCCAACCAGAGACCCTAAGAGGAACAGGCAAAACTTTTTCCTTCCCTATAAGAGCACACAGAGCACTGTGGGACTGGAGAGGTGTATTGATCTTTATCTGGAAATCAGTAGAAGATGTAAGGAATTCACTAGAAGAACTATTGGAACTAATAAATGAGCTTAGCAAGGTTTCAGGATACAAGATCAATATAAATAAGTCATATTTCTATATATTTGCAATGAATAACTCAAAAATCAAACTAATTTCATTTAAAGTTGCATTAAAAATATACCACAACTTCTTTATCCAGTCATCTATCGATGGACATTAGGTTGCTTTCACATTTTGGTTATTGTAAATAGTGCTGCTATGAATATTAGGGTGCATGTATCTTTTCAAATTAGAGTTCCCTCTGGATATATGCCCAGGAGTGGGATTGCTGGATCATATGGTAAGTCTATTTTTAGTTTTTTTGAGGAATCTCCATACTGTTTTCCATAATGGCTGCACCAAAACTACATTCCCACCAGCAGTGTAGGAGGGTTCCCTTTTCTCCACACCCTCTCCAGCATTTATTGTCTGTGGACTTTTGAACGATGGCCATTCTTACTGATGTGAGGGGTGTAGTTTTGATTTGCATTTTTCTGATAATTAGTGATATTGAACATTTTTCTCATGTGCCTATTGGCCATTTGTATGTCTTCATTGGAGAACTGCTACTTTAGGTCTTCTGCCCATTTTTGGATTGGGTTGTTTGTTTTTTGCTGTCGTTGTTATTAAGTTATTAATGAGCTGTTTATATATTCTGGAAATTAAGCCCTTGTCAATCACATCATTTGCAAATATTTTCCCTCATTTCGTAGGTTGTCATTTTGTTTTGCTTATCGTTTCCTTTGCTGTGCAAAAGCTTATAAGATTTATAAGGTCCCACTTGTTTATTTTTGCTTTTATTTCTATTGCCTGGGTAGACTGCCCTAGGAGAACATTGCTAAGATTTACGTCAGAGAATGTTTTGCCTATGTTTTCTTCTAGGAGGTTTATAGAGTCTTGTCTTATGTTTAAGTCTTTAAGCCATTTTGAGTTTATATTTGTGTATGGTGTGAGAGAATGTTCTACTTAGTGATAAAAAAGAATAAAATAATGTCATTTGCAGCAACATAGATGGACCTGGAGATTGTCATTCTAAGTGAAGCAAGCCAGAAAGAGAAAGAAAAATATCATATGCTATCCCTCTTATGTGGAATCTAAAGAAAAGAAAAAAGAGAACACTAATAACTAATCTACAAAAGAACAGACTTGCAGACATAGTAAACAATCTTATGGTTACCAGGGTAAAGGGGGTGGTAAGGGATAAATTTGGCAGTTTGAGATTTGCAAATGTTAACCACTATATATAAAAATAGATAAAAAACAAATTTCTTCTGTGTAGTACAGGGAACTATATTCAACATCTTGTAATAACCTTTAATGAAAAAGAATATGAAAATGAATACATGTATATATATGCATGACTGGGACATTATGCTGTACACCAGAAATTGATACATGGTAACTGACTATACTTCAATAAAATATAAATAAAAATAAATAAATAAAATAAAAATAAGAATTGATAAAAGAAGTTGCATAAAAAAGAATAAAATACTTAGGAATATATTTAACAAAAGAAATGTAACATTTATACTCTGAAAAATAAAAAACATTGTTGAAAGAAATTAAAGAAGATTTAAATGAGTGAAAAAGTCCAATGTTCATGGATTGGAAGACTTAATACTGTTAAAATGGCAAAACTCCTGAAACTGATCCACAGATTCAATGTAATGTCTGTTAGAATTCCCAGCTGATTTCTCTATGGAAATTGACAAACTGATTCTAAAATTAATATAGATTTTCAAGGGACCCACAATAGCCAAAACAGTCTTGAAAAAGAAGAATAAAGTTGGAGAACTCACACTTCAAAGCTTTCTACAAAGCAACAGTAATCAAGATAGAGTGGTACTATTTTTGTTCTTTTTAGGATATGTTTGAGCTTATATGACTATCAGCTTAAAGTAAACAGATATAGTAATGGGTTAATATACTAGAAAAAACAGGGTAACCACAAGTTAAAAGCATACAATAGAGTCACAAAATCCAAAAAGAAACCAACTTTGAATTTAAACTTTTAGCCCCAGCCTGATGGGAAGGTGGAAACAGCGACCAGGTAAACAAGAAAATTGAAGAAATTCTACGTAAACCATGTTTGAAAAATTACAAGCTCAGGGAGAATTGGTCCTAGCCAAAGAAAAGTAATTAGAAAAGTCAAATATGTTAGGCATTTTGGAAGGGAAAAGAAGGCAGATAAAGAATATAGCATGCTAATGGAAAATGAGTATATTTTCAAAGAAGATTTAATTAAGAGTGTAAGCACAACCCAAACTTTAATATTCCCTAAACCTTCTGAATTACTAGAGGCAGGCAAGGGGGCAGGAGGAGGAGCTTTCTTAAGGGAATATAACATAAAATGACAGAAAAAAATGAAGTATACTTGTAATTATAATAAACACAATTGGATTATGCTCATGGAACATAGACAACTCTGAGAGTGGGTAAAATCACTGAACCCAACTATCTACCCTTTGTAAGAAACATATACTAAATGAAATGACCCCCTCCACTGCTTTTCTTTTTCCTTATAATTAATTTGTTAAAGAATCTGAGTCTTTTGACTGTAAATATTTCCAAGGTTTGGAGTTGCTGATGATACTCTTAGGATTTAGTTTAACCTATTCTCTGTATTTGTTACCAAACAGTAGCTATATGCAGAGGCTTAATCACATTCAGTTTGATTTTCTTAGCAAGACCTTGGTGGCGGTGTGTTCTTCCATCAGGATGCACACAGTGTCTCTACGTGTTTTTGTGATGTTAACAGCTGTGGATGTACACAATGTCTGCATCTCTTAATTCACGGGGGTTTGCAAAATGGGGATGTTTCACATCTATCAATTCTTATTTATGTATTAGCTGAACTAATTCTATAGAGAGACATTTCTCCTACTGTTTATTTACCACTGATAGAGTTTGGAGAAGAAAGGCACAACATCAGATTTTCCTTTGAACCCTTTGTCTCCATCATTCACTTGAAAACCATTCTAGTCAGGATCACCTTTAAGGTAACTCTTGCCAAACCCATCAGTAAATTCTCAGACCTTATGTGATTTTACCCCTTGATAATATTTGCCACAGGTACTCATTCCCATCTTTTACACTTTTCTTCTGAGATACCACTGTTCTTCCCACTTCACCAAAGGCCCTTCCCAGTTTCCCTTGCAACCTTCCCCTTTTCTTCCTCACTTTTAAACGTTAAAGAGGCCTAGACTCACAACTTTATACCTCTAGCCCCAATAGCTCCCCAGAAGTCTAGAGCAGTGCATCTGCTGGGCTGCATGCCAATCTCTATCAGGATGTCAAATAGTTTCAGACTTTATATGGTCCCCTCTTCTGCCCCAAACCTGCACCCCTTATTTTTTCCCATCTCAGTCAGCAGCACCACAGTTTGCTCAGGGGCCACCTTCAATTCCTCTCTCTCCTGTATCCCCAGTTTCAAAATCTGTCTTTAATCTGACCACTTCTTACCTTCAGAGATACGTGGTTTGTCTTTCTTTAGCCCAGTCCTGAATTTCTGCTTTAGCAAATATAATGTAGAAAATTAGGCTTATCACATTAAGGGATGACATCAGCAAGAAGATTTTAAGCCAGGAAGATTCTGAAGCCTGAGGAATTAAAGTGCAAAGTAATTATAAGTTATTGGTCTTGTTGTTGTGTTTTGTAGCATTTAAAATATAATATTAAAATTAATACAGCCTCAATGCAGTTCACTTATACATTCTCATAAGGAACAAAAGATGTCATAATTTCACTTTACAAAGATAATCACTATTTGTCTTTCTACATTTTTATCTATGCCTATATACATATAACTTTTCATGTATAAAAATGACATTATATATACACAGTATTAAAGCCAAGAATGCATATGGTTTTTCATTTGGAAACATCTCATAAACATGTTTGCATATTAGGAAATATATGACTGTATCATAACCATTACTGATTAGCAATCCAGAACTTAGATTTATAAAATTTATAAAAGCACCCCTTGTTTCTTTATATTTAAGCCGGGTTTCACTTTTTTTGCTGCTACAAATTTGAATACCTTGGTGGTTAATTACATACACAGCAATGCTTTGGAATAAAATTTATCAAATACCTTCTCCTTATTTATGAAAATGGTTGACACATTTTCTTTTTCAGCCTATTAATATGATCAATTTCATTAATAGACTTCTATTAATAAATAGAGCCATTTTTACTTTCATAGAAAATGGTCTACACAATCCTGATGTCATATATATTTTAAGATGTTGGTGGATTCTATGCACAGGTAATGTATTTTCTGCATCCACAGTCAAAGGTGAAATTTCTGTTATGTTTCAGATTTGCTTTACCATTTTGCCCTGTACCTTTTAATCAGCTGAGGTTAAGTTTTATGTAATTAAATGTGTAAGGCATCGTGATTGGGGTTTTGGTTTCTGGGTCATGCTTTTGAAGGATGTCCTGCTTAAAGTTCAAATAATTATTAACTTCTATTTTACTTTAGTATAGTTATTGTTTCCTTTCTTCATTTACATTGTAATCATCTAGAATTAACTTGGGGGTAAATATGAGAACATACTGTAACTGTATTTTTCTACAAGTGGTTTGCTACTATGTTTTAAAAAAAAATCCATCCTTTCTGGTTTGAAGTGAAACTTTATTATACAAAATGCATTTTTTTTTCAGAACTTGACCAAATCATCTTCAGTTTCATTTAAAACATAATTAAGAGTAGACATTGAAAAAATAAAACTGTATTTTTCCTGCCAAATTAGACATTAAATATATTTAATTATAGTGATTTCTATAATTAAAACATGCCAAATTTGACAGGTAATAGGCAAAAAGAAAGTGAAGGGAAAAAAATCAAGATGTGCTTAGAAATTTAATGATAAATAATAAAGCCTGTGATAATTTTAATAGAAATTCATTGTGATTTGGAATTGAAGTCTCCTAGAAACTTAATATTCCTCTCTTTTCTCATATTTTCACTGATGTTGCTCAATAAGTGCACAGTTTTCTTCATATGGACTTTGCACAGTTTTCAAAATACCCATAGGTATTTTGCAATATTGGTAGATATGATGCTTTAGATTTTTCCACAGCATGCTACCTAACTTTGGGGTTATTTCCCCCCTAGGAAGACAATCACATTCTCTGTACATAACATTTTTCTTCTGCATTTACATTGTATATTCTTGACAGTTGTGTTTGCTAACCTCTTTCAGAATGCTAAACAATAGGATAGAAAACATAGTTCTATTTTTCCTGATTTAAAAGGATATAAGAATAAAAATACTAATAGCTGTTATGCATTGAACACAAACATCTGACACTCATATGCATTATCTAATTTGATAATTGCCTTAGCCCCATTCTGTGTCATCTTAGCCAGCTGGAGACACTGAGGCTTAAATTAAGAAATGTTTCTGATAACACAGCTTGTAAGTAGCTGAGTTAAGAGTTGAACAAGATAGTTTTGCCAGAGAAATGCATACTGTAAGCCCCTAAGTAGCCGATTCTCATTGTATCTAGTACTTTTACTTAAAGGAAACTTTTTTTTCCTGACAATATAATAATACTATCTTTCTTTGGTTAATGTTTACTTCATTTTTTATGCTGTCCTTACAACTTTAAATGTTTCCATGTCTTTATTTTAGGTATGTATTTTATATATAAATAGCACATGAATGGCTTTTGTTTTTAAACCAGTCTTACAAACTTTGTCCTTTAACTGCAGTTTAGTCTATCTATATTTATTGTGATCTCTGGTATGTTTGGATTTATTGCTACCATCTCTCTTCATGCTTTCAATTTGTCCTATTTTCTACCTTTATGCCTACCCCCTACCCCCCCATCCCATTTCTTACCCTTCTTTCACATTGAGGGATTTTTACTTTTGCTTTTTTTTAATTCCATGTCTTCCTCTCTCTCCTGATTTGAGACACACTCTATATCTATTTTTAATGGTTACACTTACTTGTTATTTTAACACACATACCAAAAAATTTAATACTAATCTTTATATTTAAAAAAAATTACAGGGTCCAGGAGGCGGAGAACCAGGGAGTTGTTGTTCAGTGGGTATAGAGCTTCAGTCATGCAGGAGGACAAAGTTCTAAAGATCTATTATACAACAATGTGCATGTAGTTAACAATACTACCTACACAATATTGTAAGGTACACTTAAAATTGTTAAGAGAGTACATTTTCGTTATTTTTTTGACCACAATAAAAAGAAAAATTTTTTAAAATAAAGTTGAAGAATTCTATAGTCTCTGAATTCATTTTTTAAAAAAGGATACTTTGATGCATTTTTAAAAAAGAATACTTGGATTTGCCATCAGTCTCTCCCAGATTACGTACACTATTTTTTCTTATACTTTAGCTCTATTTTGTTCTTATTTATAAGTCTACATGTTGTATTAGTAACAGCATTTTATAAAGTCAGGAATTTAAAAAAATTTCTCCATTATGATCTTGCATATTTTTGGTTGCATTAATTCCAAGATACTTATAACTTTTGTTACTACTGTGAATAGTATCTTATTTAATTTCTGGTGTCTATAAATGCTATTATTTAAGTATGTTGATTTTGTTTTGAGCAAACTTACTAAGCTCTATTCTTATTTACTTTATATATTTTTAATTTTTTATTGATTTTGTTGGTTTTCCTAAGTAAATAATTATAGAAGCATTGGGAAATTGAAGCTTTATTTTAGTCTTCCTGACTCTTAAATCTCTTTTTATTTCCGTTTAAAACAGTATCCAGGAGCGCCAGTACAATGTTAAAAAGTTGATAAATAGTTGTAGATATGAGCGTCCTTTTCTCATTTGTCACCTTAAAGGGACTACATCTCAAGTTTCTTAATTGTGCAAAAATAATCTATGTATTTTGGTACATAAAAATTTACAAATTAAGGAACTTCCATCCCCTCCCTGGTTGCTAATAGGATTAAAAAAAATCATACGTAGCTATTGGAATGTTCTGCACCAGTTGAGATAATCATGTAAGTTTTGTTTTTCCCCATTGATCTCATGTGATGAGTTACACTGGCAAACTTTCTTATGTTAAACCATATTTTCCTTACCAAGATAAAATCTATCTTGTCATAATGCATTGTTTTTTCATATATGTTTGGCTTTGGCTAACTAATAATTTCTTTAGGACTTTTGCATCTAAGTTCATAAGTAATACAGACCTAAAATTTTCTTTTCTTCCATTGTTATTATCTAATTCTGCTGATTCTGGAATTAAGATTATACTAGACTCAATTTCTTTCAGAATTTTTTTTTAAACTTTTGGCATAAATAGTATAGGATAGGGTAAAATTGTTCATTGAAAATTTGGTATAACAGCTGGAACGCAAACTAGGCCTGAGTTAGTCTTTTGGGAGATAGGGAGATGTTTGAATACTATTTCAGTGTCTTTAATTTTTATTGGTCCATTCAAGGTCTTTATTTTTTTTGAGCAATTTTGGTAAATTCTATATTTTTAGGAACGCATTCAGCCAATTTTTTGGCATAGGGTTGTTCTGAATATCCTTAGCTTTTAATCTATGTCATCTTTGAAAAACTTTCTTTCTCATTTAGTATTTTCTTTATTTGAATCTTCTCTCTTTTATCTTGTTCCAGAAAGTCTATCTGTCCTATTAATATTTTCAAATGACCAGTTTTAGGTTTTGTGTACCTTCAGTACTATTTTATTAACTATGGAATTGATTTCTACTTTTACTCTTATTATATTAATCCTTATTCTTTGGGTTTGCATTTTTTCCCAATTTCTGGAGTTGAATACCTAGCATATTTAGTTTTAGATGTTTTTTCTTGTCTTTTATAAAAAAACTTAAGACTATAAATTACACTTAGTGTCCAATATATTTGCCCATGTAACAATTTCATTGTCATCTAGTTTTAAGTATTAGTGAATTCCCTTACGATATTCTCTTAAACCTAATAATTTGTTATTACGGTGTTTAGTTTATAAACATATGCAATCATTTTAGATACCCTGTTGCTATTAATTTCTGATGCTATTGTACTTTGGCATGGAACATAGTCTAGAATATTGAACCTTTGGAATCTAATTTTTTGTTTGTTTTCAGTGGGAGAACTGAGCCAAACCACTGAACTTGTCAACATAAGCAGCTGAAAATCTGAAATGTATTTATTTTCAAAATATGCGTGGATTTTTCTAATTATCTTTTTTTGTCTCTGATTTCTGTCATATTTTAATTATAATTGGAGGATATATTATGTGTAATTCCAGTCCTGTTACAATTGCTAAAATTCACTTAGTGACACAGTATGTAGTCAGTTTTTGTGAATGTTCCAGGCAACCTTGAAAGGAATAAGGATTCTGTGGTTGTTGAGTGGGATGTTCTATATATGTCAAGAATATTAACTGTGTTGTTCAACAGTTTTATATTTCTATAGGTTTTTTTCTCTTTGCTGCAACAATTATTAGAAATAGTTATCTTTCACCATAACTATGCTTTTGTCCTTGGTTCCAGCAGGTCTGTTATTATTATGTAAGATGATACTGTATTTTATGTGTATACAAATTTATAATTGTCATCTCTTCCTATCGAATTGAATCATGCATCTTTATGAAGGGGCTATCCTCATCTCCACATCTCATTTGTGCCTTAATGTCTCCCTTGAGCTACAGCAGCTTTCATTTTGTTAATAGCTTTATGATGGGTTGGCTCTGAGGATCTGATCCTGTGGGTTTTATTCTCCTCTCACATGCCACATTATTTCAATTTTTGGCTTATGGCATTTGGAGCCAACAGAGTTTGAATTTGGGCCATAGACTCTTGTGAAAATTGGCTTATTGTTTCATATGGTCAGTAGAGTCTTTATTCAATTTCTTCTTTTCCTTTGTAGCTGAAGCTGAGAAAGGCAAGTTTCCTCACTGGACAGAGATAACTTCAGACAGTTCTGGAGCCACGTTTCGGGGGAGTCAGCTCAGCAGGTCTGACTGAGTTCAGTGGAAGGACAGGCTGAGTGGGCTCCATGCTCAGAGGAGAAAACACATTCTTGTTTCCTACAGTTCTCCTTTTCAAGTGACGCTACCTCTCTGATCAGAGAGCTTCTGTGGTTGTAGTGATGTTTCTGGCCTTTCTGATACGATAAGTCCAAAGCACATGATGGTGGAGGGTTCTTCTCTATGGGAAATATGGCCATGGTGAATGCAAATTATCTCTCCTTGGCTAAAGTCACGGGATAAGGAGCATTTGGAGGAACTGCCTGCACACTGCTACTTCTCAGCTTCTAGGTTTTCCTACAAAGAAACCCAAGTTTATATATGAGTTACATGGTAGTAGTGGTGTGTGGTTGTAGTCCTTAGGGATTACAGATTTATACCAGTATTTTCATTCTGACTCTTCTTTTATAAGTGGTTTTGGGATATTACCTCTTACCCTCTGTTCGTCCACTGCATCTGAAGCTATAGACCACCCAGGATGGGCAATTTCTCCAAGGCAGCCAGTGGCTTTGATGGTCATTTACCTCTCTGGAATCAAGCTCTTCCTTCATTTTCCACCTCTGAACATTCCCCTTACTTTTTTTTTCCAAGATAAGCATGCATTTAACATGATTGTTAAAATTTGATAAGGTATTTAAACTTGTCTGAAAATATATTATTAGATCTGGGACCACAGAATTTATCAAATTATGTTGGCAAAGATTGCACAGTCATTTGTATATAGTGTGTTGGAGAAAGCATGTTCAGATGTATTGGAACAGAGACATCATAACAACAATCCTGGCCAAAGACAAACCAATCTAACAAATAATAATGAAACTTAGTATTAATGGTTAATGAGTAAATTGCCTGTGGCTTAAGAAGAAAAGCCAGAACAAATATGATGGCTGAGAAATGTGGACATGTTTCCAATTACCACCTGGGTAACCATCTTGGTTTTGCCTCCACTAGGCAAGCAGCTTTGGGAACTGCGGTTTCTTTACATGATACTACCAATTTACACAATATTCCTTTAGAATCATCCACATATTTATTATTTCTGTTGCTTCTTTTCCTTTCTGCATCTCCAAGCTACCATATGGGATAATTTTATTTCTCCCTAAAAAAACTAACTTTTGTTTTTCTCTCAGTGCTAGTCTACTTTTGCTGGATTCTCTGTTTTTGTGTGAAAGTGGATGAACTTAAACTTAATTTTTGATGATGAATTTTTTGATAGATTATAGAATTCTAGACTAGTATTTATTTTCCTTTAGCACCAAATAAGGCATTCTAAGTATTCTTAGGAGGAGAATTTCAGATAACCTTGTCCATAGAAACAGAAGTCGGCCTTTATAGAATTGTATTTTTTAGTCATTTTTAAAATCTATTTGTTCCTGATTGGTCATTCCTTTCCTAACAAAACTGTATCTTGTAACTTATATTACCACTGGTAATATAAGTTTTGATCAAGGCACACATTCATTGTTAAAAAATCACAGAGGTCCACTTTTGTTTCAATAATCAATGATTAAAGAGTTACCAGTACAATTAATTGACATACAACAAGAAAGAAATTGTATTATCTGTAAGTTTGGAGGAAATGCCTGATTTGACCAAGCTTAATGTGACACAAAAACTCATAACTCACCTCTTGCCAATGTCTTCACTGCATTTTTTTGGTCTGAATTATCCTCTTTTTCTGTACAATTAATATTAGAAAAATAACTACCCATGTCTGGATGTTCCTTACCTGACTAAGAATCATTCCAGTCAGAGTGGTAGAAATTAGTGCTCCTGTCATTCCAACTAAATTTGTAACTCCTTTAAGAAATCCATAGTATCTATAAAAAATGAATGATAACACACAGATGCAAAGTAATACAAATGCTGCAGGAAAAACCTAGTGAAATGAGGTTTAAGAGAGGTTTGATTTGCTTTCCTAAATTTCCCTTTCCCCCTACTCAAATTCCATTAAAATGTCTGAAAAAACATATGGATATAAGTAAATTTCTGGTTGCACCACAGAGTCAGAAAGGTTGGCTTTAGCAGTAAAGAATATCAATATATTGAGAAAATGAGATCATATTAGAGTGAAAGCCAGCAGAGTTAGAAAATCTATGAATACAGTTGAGAAGTTCCAAAGGTGATGTGTATTGATAATAGGAACTAGTTTGGGATTAACACAAAATTGAAGGACTCTGTTCACCTGGTCTATTCTCACAGTCCCAGAACTACTGGCCCCAGTGATTTCTCCCATTATTCAGGCAAGGAAATCAGAAACTTGTTTCAAGCCACTGTGACTGGCCAGTCCTGAGTGCCAAAACCAACCTCAGCAGAAGGTAAGCTACAAAAGTAGGGAAGCCACATAGAATAATAGATAAAGTATGGGTCAAATCCATCAGCTGTAAAGAACAAGGAAGTGCATTTTGGGGAGCAGAATCCCGTGTCTGATCAAGAAATTATTTCTCTCCAGGACAGGGAGTCTTTGCCTTTCCTGCCCAACAGATTTCACCATTAAAGGTCCTGTGTTTTTACCTTTTCCCTTTTATGAGAGTGGCGGCTTTCTGTTTGTTTTGTTACGTCTTTTATTTCTTTGGGTCTTCCATTCTTACTCTGCCTTTACATGCTGAATATGGGAGAGAGTATATAGCTTGTTTACTAGTCTATGAGTCTCTAGGCTGAGAAGCATCACATCTGGACCTATAGTCCCTGGATTGTGGAGCTGTATGCAGTCACCAGGTAGAAATTTGAGTTGGCTCGTTTTGTGGAGCTGAAGAGTGTCTTTTTAAAAAAATTATTATTTTTTAAAAATTTTTTTATGGCCATAGGCTCCTTTTTTTTTTAACAATGTTGTGTCAAATTCCACTGTAGAGCACAATTTTTCAGTTATACATGAATATACATATATTCATTGTCACTTTTTTTTTTCGCTGTGAGCTACCACAACATCTTGTATATATTTCCCTGTGCTGTACAGTATAATCTTGTTTATCTATTCCACATTTTGAAAACCCAGTCTGTCCCTTCCCACCCCCCACCCTCTTGGCAACCACAAGTTTGTATTCTATGTCCGTGAGTCTGTTTCTGTTTTGTATTTATGTTCTTTTTTTAGATTCCACATATGAGCAATCTCATATGGTATTTTTCTTTCTCTTTCTGGCTTACTTCACTTAGAATGACATGAAGAGTGTCTTTTAATGTGTGAAGAAGAACATTTATGCTTATAAGCAGCCACAGGTGCAGACTGGGGCAGAAACTGTCAATTGTCCCCAGTAATTATTGTTGCCCTTTTCATTTTAGCAATAGAATTCCTGGGATTTTGGTGAGAACATGGCTACTTATAACTTTGTGAGCCCTTGTCATTTTGCCTTCATAAACCCCTTCCCCTATAAAAAATTTTTTTAATTTTATTTTATGACTGTGTGTATTGAGGAACTTTTCATTTAAATTGTCAGATTTATTGGAATGAAGTTGTTTATAATATTCTGTTATTTTCTTTATTATGAGCTAAGACTTACCACAATGCACTTTTTCCATTGCTTATACTGATAATTTTTCCCTTTATTTTTCTTCATTAATCTTCTTTATTTCATTAATTTTACTAGTTTTCAAAGAAGCAACTTTGATATTGTTGGTTTTATGTATCATTTTTGGCCCTAATCTTCATAATTTCTTTTCTACTTTCTTTGGGTTTAATTTGCTACTTTTCCCCTACTTGAGATATAAACATGATTATTGATTTTAAGACTTAATTGTCTTTCAATATATATGTTTAAAGATATACATTTCTCATGGACATGATTTTAAATACATCCCACATGCTTTGAAATGTCATATTTCATTGTAATTTAGTTATGAAGTATTTTCTAATTTCAAATATGATTTCCTCTTTTACCTAAACATTAATTTCAAAGCAATGGGAGTTACCTATCTTTTGCTTTTGGTAGTAACCTTAATTTCATTATGATTAAAGAATATATTCTGAATGATTTCAGTCACTTAAAATGAACTGCAGCTTGTTTTATGATCTATCATATTGTTAATTTCAGAAAATGTCCCATGGGCAATTGAAAAGAATGTAAATTCTCTCCTTGTTGAGTGCAGTGTTCTACGTATGCCAACCAGGTCAACTTGTTAACTGTTGTTGTAATCATCCATATCCTTACTCTTGTCTACCTCTTTTTTTGTATAAGCTATTGAAAGAGATGTGTGAAAGTCTCTTTCTTCGTTGTAAATTTGCTTAGTTCTTTGGATTCTCTCGACTCATGATGAATATAAATTAAAGCTGTATGATTTGGTTCCAAAAGAAGTATAATTCTGACATTTTTCTCTTTACCACTATGATATATCACCCTTTATTTCTAGTAATGCCCCTTGCATTAAAGTCTATTTTATCTAAGATTAACATAGTTATTCCAGATTTCTTTTGGTTAATATTTGTTTGGCATACCTTTTCACATTCTTTTATTTCATCCTTGATGTATCCTCATGTTTAATGTGTTTTTTATTTGCACCACAGAGCTGCATTTCCTTTTTTATTGAGTTTGACAATCTTGATACTTGGAGTATTTCATCTATATTAATTTAATATAATTACAGATATACTTGTGATTATATTTATCTGCTCATTATTTGCTATTTGACTTCCTCTTTTTCATTGTACTTTTTCTTTCTTTTAGAGTCATCCATTTTCATTTCATTTTTCCTTCTATGACATTATTTCATTATTTTTTCAGCACTGAAGATATTATAACATGCACTCTTCACTGAAGTTTATACTTTTACTATGTTCTCTATAATGCTGGAATAAAACTTTTTTTAACTCTATGTCTCTCCCTCCTTCTCTTTGCATTATTTCATCCTGTATTTTCATTTCTTAGTGCCTTTTATATCTATATGCATTTCAACTCACAAGGTACTCTGTTTTTAAAGACAATAGTCTCTTAATTATATGCATATTTACCCCACTATTGCTCCTCAGTCTGTCTTGCATTTTCAGGTTTCATCAGGGATAATTTATTTTTGGCTGAAAATTTCCTTTCAGTATTTCTTTTAGTGAAGATCTGGTGGCAATTTCTCTGTTTGCCTGTTTGTCTGAAAACTTTTTTTATTTTGCTTTGATTTTTGAAGAATATTTTCACTAGGCATAAAATTCTAGGTTGGCATTTACTTTTTAGCAGTTTATAGAGCTTATTTCATTATCTTCTAGCTTTCATAGTTTCTGTTGAAAAGTCAGATGTCAGGCTTACTATTGCTACTTGCAAGTAAGATGTCTTTTCCCTCTGGTTCCTTTTCAGATTTTTCTAGTTATTTTTGGCTCTTGGTTTTCAGCATTCTTACTATATATATTAATTTTTTAAATTTACATTTTATCGTGGTTGAAATTCACAGAGCTGTGTGCATGTGTGGTTTGCTAACTTTCATTACTTTTGGGGTTTTGGGGGGCCTTCTGTTAAAATATTGTTTATGTCACATTTTATCTCTCCTTTCCTTCTGAGACTTAAACAGATTTATTAGCCTTTTCAATTAATTCCATGTTTCTGTTGCTTTCTTTTCTTTATTTTCTATTCTTTTACTATATATACTTTAACCTAGATTTTGTTAATGTTTTCTAGTTTACCAATCCTGTCTTCTCTTGTAGCTAATTTATCATTAAACCTATCTATCTATTAAGATCTAATTTCAGACTTTTTTTTCAGTTCTAGAACTTTCATTTGATTTTTTTAAATAGATTTCAATGCTGGTCAAATTGTTTACCCTTTCATCTATTTTCTTCAGTTTTCCCCCTGGTTTCTTGGGTCTATTAATCATAGATACTTCTTGCCTGATAACTTTAATATCTGTATCAGTTGTAGGACTATTTCTAATGGCATTTTATGGTACTGGTCACATGGTCCTGTCCCTTGGCATGCCTAGTAATTTTATTAATGCTGCACATTGTGAATAAGAAGCTACAAAGACTTTAGAATATACTATATTTTGCCAGAAAAGATTTACTGTTTTCTCTAATAGTTAAATTTGGAGGGGAGGAAAGTGATCACTTTAACTTAATCAGGGGATGAACTGAGAAGAGACTAGGTTTCAATTTTGAAAGGACTCAGTTTATCTCTGGTATCCCCCATCCCCATTCCTTGGGTATAGCCCTTCATGTTGTTAAGTAGAGAGCTCAGTATATTCAGCTGGGTCCCTCCAGGCCGTGGTAGATCTTCTTTCCTTAGCATAGATGGTATGGGAAATTCTGCCATGTTTCTTACAGATTTTTAGCTTTTTTTTTTTTTTTTTTTTTTTTTTTTTGCCTCTTACCCTATTGAACTTCAGAATTCAACAAACATCTCCAGGAGAGAAACTGACTTGGTGTTTAAATTCCCTTAATTTCAAATTTTGCCATGCTAGCCCTGTGCAACTGCCAAATGCTTGGCTAATTTCTCTGTCCAGAGCAGCAGGCTTCTACCAGGGTCAAACCTGGATTATCAGCCTTTTGCCAATTTTCAGGCCCCAGAGAAGAAGTGGAGGGATTGTCAGCTCACCTCTCCAAGATGTAAGCTTCCGATGTCTTTGGTCTTATTGGTTTCTGCTGCTGTCTGATTCCTTTCAGTGAATACTTATAATATTTTATCTGATCTTTTCAAGTTTTTCCCCAGCTGGAATGTCAGTCATACACAAACTGCTCAATCCTCTGTGGAAGTTTAACAATTTTCTCAAATTTTGCTTTATGGTTGTAAAATGTTAGATGCATAGAAATAACTTCTTATGTATTAATTATAAAATATTCTTTATCTGTAGTAATGTATCTTGCCTTAAAGTCTACACTGTCTGATCTATTTTAATTTATTTTACATTTAATCTATTACATTTTGGTTTTACTTTTATTTCAATCCAGATTAACTTACAATTTGGAATATTCAGTTCTTTTATATTTCATGTTTTTCTGATACATTTGACTTAATATGATCATCATTCCACTTTTTCCCACCTATTCTATATCCGTTTTTATTCCTTTCTCATTAATTTAAAAAATATCACTCTCTTTTTACTTTTATTAGCCCTCAGTAGTTACCTTACAGGTAATATGTATCCTTGACTTATTATAGTCTAATACAAGTTAATGTTTTAAAAACTCCAATTAATGAAAGCATCTTAGGACACTTAAATTCATTTATTCCCTCTCATCTTTTGTGCTATTTACTGTTGTGCATTTAAACTTACATATATATTTATACCATATAGGGTGTTACTGTTTTTGTGTGTGAATTCAGTAATTATTAGATTTACTCTAATATTTTCCCTCTCCATCTCTCTTCATTTGTTCCTACACCTCTGTGCTTCATCTGTGATTATTTTATTTTTGCCTGAAGAATTCTCATTTAATAATTCTTTCACTGGAGATCTGTTGCTAATGAATTCTCACAGTTTGCCTGAAAATATTTTTATATTACCTTAATTCTTGAAGTAAACTTTTCCTAGACACAGCCTTCAAGGTTAACAGTGGTTTTTATTTGTTTGTTTACATATTAGGGATTGCCTTCTAGATTTCATAGTTTCTGTTGAGAAGGCAGATGTCAGTATTCTTATTGCTCCTTGAAAGTAATATGCCTTTGCATAAGGCTCTTTTTAGGAGACCTCTCTGTTTTTTGGCAGTTTTGCTCTGACAAGACTAGGTGTGGTTTTCTTTGTATTTATCCTATTATATATCCTGTACATATAACACCTTTAATGACTATGTTCTCAGATTCAGAAGTCTTTAGCATGCTGTGGTGGTGGGAAAAGATTTAACCTACTTTTTACTGAAAGAGGTGCTTTCATTCCATGATTAGAGATATAAACAGAGTCCCTAGTATCAAGCATCCTGAGTACCATGACAATTCCTCTGAAAATCATTACACATCCACAGTATGAAGCAGTTCACTGATGTGAGAGTAGCAAGCTGGAACTCTTTATGCTGGTATGTGTTTGACATGAGGAATATAAACAACTTTGAGGTTCTTTTAATGCAGGACAATTATTTGGACAATAATTAGCTCTAAAACTGCTTATTCTTCAGCTGCAATAGCCCATAGTAAAAGTATTTTGGAAGTGTAAATAGTCCATGAAGTAGACTTTCAATTTTATTGATTTTATATTTTGGTGTAATAATGATTTAGTAGAACCTAAATAAGATTCAGACGTCTGATACGAATGATCAATAGGCACATGAAAAAATTCTCAATATCACTAATTATCACAGAAATGAAAATCAAAACTACAATGAGGTATCATTTCACATCAGTCAGAATGGCCATCATTCAAAAGTCCACAAATGATAAATGCTGGAGAGGCTGTGGAGAAAAGGGAACCCTCCTTCACTGCTGGTGGGAATGCAGTTTGGTGCAGCCACTGTGGAAAACAGTATGGAGATTCCTCAAAAGACTAGGAATAGACTTACCATATGACCCAGGAATCCCACTCCTGGGCATATATCCAGAAGGAATCCTACTTCAAAAAGACACCTGCACCCCAACGTTCATAGCAGCACTATTTACAGTAGCCAAGACATGGAAACAGCGTAAATGTCCATCGACAGATGACTGGATAAAGAAGATGTAGTATATTTATACAATGGAATACTATTCAGCCATAAAAGCTGACAACATAACGCCATTTGCAGTGACATGGATGTCCCTGGAGTATGTCATTCTAAGTGAAGTAAGCCAGAAAGAGAAAGAATAATACCATATTAGATCACTTATATGTGCAATCTAAAAAGAAAAGAAAAGACAAAGACAAACGAACATAAATACAAAACAGAAACAGAATCATAGACATAGAATACACATTTGTGGTTGCCAGAGGGGAGTGGGGTGGGAAGGGACAGACTGGGAGTTTGAAATTTGTAGATACTGATAGATATATACATAGAATAGATAAACAAG